ATATTCATCTTGACACAAAAAGCCCTTTCAGAAAGGTCAGTAGTACTTCACATTATAAAAATCAATATAAATTATACATAATTATCAATTGGTTATGTTCTACTGTCTATTTCAGTTAATACCCAGTGACTTCTATTGCCTTTAGCAAAGTGCAAGAATCTTGGGATGAGATTCTAGTAGAATGTAATGTTTCCTTCTAAATCAGTGATGAACCTCGAGTTAATTTTTTTCTTAATTTGTGGCTTGTTTGCTATTCTGTTCATACAATTAGAGGCTCCAGGTTTCTTTCAGCAGTATAGGGATTAAATCTAGAACACTATAGGCATAATACCCACATTAAAAGAGGCTGTGGCATAGCAACCACTCCTGTATTGTGAGAAAATTGCACTGGGATCAGGTGCATTGAGCATCAACTTCTACTTTTATCCAAAACATAGGTGCATCATTCAGCGTAACATTCCCACAATGATTCAGAGGGAGGAATACCAATTCGTACCCAGTCCATATCATCCCTTGCCAGGGCTTGTCTTCCTCCAGCTATACTCAGTTTTGTGTTCCCAATTACCCTTCCCAATTATATGACTGCAAGTTTGGAAATAGCAGGTTTTCTGAAACAGCAGCTCTGGAAGAAACAGATAGCAGCTGGTAGTCTCTGGAAAGATTGGTAGATAATTATTGCAAATAATATGGAATTATGTCACAATGGTTGAAAATAGCAGCTGAGTTTTGATGGGAAAATTTGCAGTAATCCAAACACAAATCCCATATGCTTAGTTGCAACCATTTCTGTTTAATAAACTGTAGAGCAGTAGACTGTATGTCAGTCAAACCAGCTGGTTGTGATGTAATTAATTTGTTACACATAAATACTCTTTATAGTAGTTATTAATCCCTGAAACATTAGCTATATAGCCTGAAACCTGGACAAATTTGGGTTTTTTAGAAAGATATTTTTATGTTTATGAAGTCAATTCGTTCATTTTTTACAGACTAATTTCCTTGAAGTTCTTGTTCATAAAGATTTGATATATACTTTAAACCATCTTATTAGAATCCTTCAAGCAGCTTAACTATATGCTTTTATAAAAAATACTGGCTTGGAAAGTTCTGTAGAAAAAAAAATTGCTCTGAGTTTTTGTAGCCAAATAAGAAAAATCAGAGTTGAACAAAATATCAATTTGATTATCTGAATATTTAACATGTTCATCTTTTGTGAAGGTTGTTAGATTACACTTTTTTCCTTTTTTAGCAACTAATACATATCAAAAATTACATGGAAACTCAGAGTAATGTTATTACCTCAAGGTTAAAAAGAAAAAAAAGATCCTGTAGTGAGCAAGATTCTATTTCCAGTTTGTTACATGACATTGTCTTTAGTGTATGTAGATATTTCTGCTTAGTAAGTCATCGTTATGACTTTTGTTTGTTGCTTTAAGAAAATCTTCTCAACTTTCTTCAGCAATTGCTGGAAAAATCAGCAAAAAATCAAACATAATTCCAAAGTACTGTTGTTTGGTCAAGGCCTTTGAGGAAAGTGCCTTGGATTATAGTCCTTCCTATTATATTTCTTTATAAGTTTTTATGTAAAAGAACTGCTGCCTGCAATTATGTGCCAGATACAGCACATATCACCAGGTCTCTGCTGATTTCATCACATGCCAAGTTCTTTTGCATATATTAATGCATCCCTGTAATAGCTTTTAAAAACAGTCTCTCTTCATTCTTGGTTATACAAAGGACATTTGAGCAGATTTTATTTTTTTCCTCAGTGCTGATGCTCACTGGAGGCCTTCTTGAGGGGGTTCCCATCTCTGTGGTTTGTACCAGTGAGGAGGAACATTTCCACACAGTTTTCATTGTGGTTGCAGTTACTGTAAGTTTCTGTTGCTGCAAGCCTGTGGAAGCACATGTGCATTACAGCATCACCCCTAAGGAGATATTCCCCCCCACCCCAAGTGTCATCAACAATGTAAAAAAGTTATACTTAATGGAACTGCAATTCCTAAAAGCAGCTAAAGTGCCCCATACACACAACTAAAGTTTATAGATGGTGCAGTTTACAAGAATCTTATCAGTATTTTTTCATTGATGCATGACACAGTGATATACAAAATGCCAGAATGGGAGCTGAACCTGACCTCTTTACAAAACTTATTAGATGCTTATAGAAATATGCTGCACTACAAGGAATGTTTCAGGAAAGAAGCAGCACAAAATAAAAAATATTATCAGCATTAGGTTTGCTGTATTGGAGATTTCCTTATCTAGAATCAGTTAGATTCTGATAATGTTAAGGTATTTCTGTCATCATCTCTCCAGAGAGCACATTTGTACACAACTGGCAGGTTTAGTTCCAGACTGTCTCAGTAGTATAATAATTTTGCAAAGCAAGAGTGGACTTTTTAAAAATGTTATATTATGCAGCTACTACAACTATCTTCCAGAAAGCCCAAAATGGGTGTCTGTGTAGGGAAACATGGCACTAGCTTTCCCTCCAGGAAAATAGACACAGATCTCCAAAATGCATCCAGGTATTCTGTGCTGGCTCATATTTACATTAGCTTGTGCAAGTTTTTCAGAAATTAAGAAAGCAATCTATTGGTCCTAATCTAAATTCAGAACACCTACAGTGATGTTGCTGCACTTTGTAACCAAAATCCATGGTTACCATGGATAAACCCATCTATCATCCAGTTAAAATTGTCACTGCTGACTCATAGGGGCACCTGTTTCCTCCTTTCTTTGGTTTAACTGAAGAGGTAAAATGCTTTGATACTGAATGACCTCATATGTCCTGTGAAGTGTTTGCTGATGTTCTCATACATTAATGTCAGGAGTTCTGGGTGTTTTTTTCTCTTATATGTAACAAGAAATAATATCCTGGGAGACTCTTTAAATATTCTCTACCAGGCATAACAGCCTGCAGAAAAAAAGTTCAATTATTCATGAATTACTTTTGTGCTCATTTTTAATGTGTTATAAATTTTAACCTTAAAAAGAAAATATCTGTGAATGGTATGTATAAATTGTACCCTCCTGGACAAGTTTGCCAATTAGTGGCAGTAGCTCATTTCTAAAATTGAAATAAGCATTTCCTTGGTTGTGATACTATAGCAAACATTCTCAAGTTGCATTGTATAATCTAGCAACCCATTTATGCTAAGCTTGAATGGAAAAAAGTGCTATTCGTTTCAGAAATTCCACTCTTTTGGGATGCAATCTAGGACAGATTTTTAACAATGACTTAAGCAGGAGATGTGCAGTGAATTTCATAGCAATAGCATAATTGTGCTCAGTGAAAGAGTAGTCTACCTTGTAAGAATACCTTCTGTAGAGCAAATGTTTTATATAATAGTTTGTGAAAAACCTGCTGCCTACAAAAAAAGAAAGATTTCTCAGAGCCATGAGAGAAGGTGATATCTTTCTCTCTGTGGTCCTGTTTAATGCTTGTAACAAAGATACTGGGCTGGGGAGAGTTTGTAGTAGCATGAAGATGAATAAATGCAATATTTAAACAGAAACTGATTTAGTGATTTTTCTTGAGTTTGGTGGAAAGGCAGTGAAGGTGAAAATGCTACTGCAATGCTAAAAAGGCAATAAAAGCCCACAAGGTCACTTCATAAGCTGATTTGCACAAAACTTAGTAACCCACTGCATAATAAAATGCATCTGAAACACTCACTTGTCAGATGGCATGGTGTACTACTGGAGTGCTGATTTGGCATAATAATAAAACTAAACATTTCCTTTTAATGTACCTGACTAGATCTGGAAACACAGAATGTGTCTTTCACAGTGCACTTTCACTGACAGAAAATCCAATGCTACTTTCAAGTGTATGACAGAGGATGTGATGCTCCTGCTGTTACAGAAAATTAGGTTCCCATCCAAATACAGTAGATTTGTCTAAAGCTGTGTTGCAAAGCTAGCAGAAGTAAGGAGGTTTGGAACTGATAAGTTCTTAATACATAGTATTTACACAAAAACATTATTCCTGCTGAGCACCTGTATTAGGTCATTTTTTAAGGGAGCTGGGAAAAGAAATTGCTCTTTTGCTTAGGAAAGAATGTGCAAGTGACATGACACCTCAAACAAATGAGACCTGTGGAGATTTTAGGAAGCTGTGAGCAGTAAATAAAGGTATGATTATTCTTCCCAAAACTGGTGGATCCCTGGTTTCATGCTGGGGGAGAAGGAAATGAAAGATTTGAGCAAGGATAAAGTGCCTGTTAGCTAAGGGATAGAAGGAATGGAGCTGTCCAGGTCTGCAGTGGCTGGGTGAGTAATGCAGAGCATAGTGCACAAGTTAAAACAAGGATCAAAATCCTGGAAGGAAGGTGGACGTTTGTTCCAAACAAATTAAATCAGATTTCAAAAATGCAGAAAGTTATTACAGGTGGCTCCATGACTTCTGCCACCCACCTCCATCTGCAAATTCAGTATGTGGAAAACAGGAGGACACTGAGAAGGTGAAGTCTGAAAAATTTCAAAACCACTTCATCAAACCATCTTTTTTCACTTGTGCCATAAATCAGATGGCTGTAGAGCTGTGGAGCTTTTCCCTCTTTCTTTTTCTTAGCTCTGATGAATGCAGGTTTCACACATTCACGTAGGACTGGCATTTATAGCTGTTACTTCCTTTGGCTACTACAAAGTTGTCTTTTCCAGCTTGACATTCAAAAGCTTCTTAACCATTTTGTAGCAGCCAAAGAAGGATATAAAGAATGGAAGTCAGCAAATTTGTGGTTTTTTTCTCACTGCAGCAAAGAGAGGGGAGAAGCCTGATTTGTGGTTTGGACTTTGGTTTTTGTTTTTCCTAAAAGTACTCTGATGCTGAAAATTGAAACTGTTGTGGTATTCCTACCTCTAGAAAAATCAAACCAATTATGCTTTAAAACACAAGTCCTGTATTATTATGTCACTGGTGCACTGAGGCACAAGAATGTTATTTACTGTTAGAACACTATTAAGTGTTTTTATTTCCACTCCTTCTATTGCAGAACATGAAAAGCAGCGATTATGCAAAAGCACAGATTATATGAATTTGCACTTCAAAGTGAAATGGTTTTATAATGAATATGTGAGAGAACTCTCTGCTTTCAAGGATGCAGTGCCTGAATACTCTCTGTAAGTGATGTTTCGGGAAGGCTTCTGTGAATCTGGGCTTTGTGCAAGGTTTGTTTTGGTCAGTATTTATGCTCAGGTTTGTGTGAGATCTCAAGGTGTGTAGCACCAACAACTACATTTTGCACTTTCTTCTCTTTAATTCTTCATTCTGTCAAGTGGAATAGTCCAGGTGTTAAATGTGCAATTAGCTATTTCATAGGTTTCTACAGGTGTTGTAACTCCAGGTCATCAGAGATGACAAAATGCTTTGGTCAGAAAATGTCTGTGGAAGGTAGGAGATGTGGGAACAGCAGCACTATTAGTTGCAGGTCCCTGCATTTATTTTATAACCAAATTTGGATAAAGCTGTAGTGCTAACGGGATACACTACTGGAATCATTCTTACTGGATTGGATTAATACTCAGCTGCTGGCTTTGTTTGCACCTGTCTCCCTGCAAGAAATATATTCAGTATATGAGCTACCCTTAATCTTCTGCAGTTCTGCTGGTTGGCTGAGATGGTTTGAGACCTGTTATTATTTTTTTTTAATAAATGAAATAAAAATAAAACACAGCTGATTTTTACTAAAACAAAGTTATGCAAAAATTACTTCAGATACAAATAAAAAAAAAATGTTACCAAAAAGCCATTATTGATAGAAGGTGCATTCCTGCTATGCTTCACTGGTAGAAAATTGGCTACTGCCTATTTTACATCACCAGAGTGAGAGCATTGTGAAACTGAAGCCTGAAAATCCTTTTGGTAGCTGCAGCATTTTGGTGACAAAAATTTTTCCAGGGTTGTTGGAATGTTTAGCAATAAGAACACATACGAAAACACAAGGTGCCAAACTGCTGGCTAGTACGACATCTCTCCTCTTGCCATCTTCATGAAATATACCTACTTTACTTTACAAAATTGCTTTTAATTTTCAGGTGGTTTGAACCATTTGTCATTCAGTGGCTGGATGAAAATGAGGATGTCTCAATGGAATTTCTTCATGGAGCACTAGAAAGAGACAAAAAAGATGGGGTAAGCCTTTTTAAGGAAGAGAATAAATAAATTATTAAGACATACATTATTACAAAGCCAGAAGTATTTTTGGTCCCACAACATCCTTCTTAGACTTCAGGAGATAACAGCTTTTGGAAGATACCTTACAGAGAAACTCCTGTTCTAATTCCCTCTGATTCCTTCTGCCTAAATCCCCACAGAATTTATTCTATGGTATCATTTCATTAACCTATGATGTGATAATGATGTCATGAATGAAAATTCTGGTTTATTTTTAAAAGGTTCAAAAGTATCAGAAAAGTGAAAAGCTACATTTCTTAGTATTAACAATGAGACTTTTCTTTTTATCACTTTTTTTGACTCTAGGAGGATTTTCAAGTATAAGAATCAATGAATACAGTTTTGATCTCTGAACAAATACTGACATTTGAATGTTTCTCTCTAGTTTCAGCAAACATCAGATCATGCCCTCTTCTCTTGTTCTGTGGTTGATGTCTTCACACAGCTCAATCAAAGCTTTGAGATTATTAGGAAATTGGAGTGTCCTAATCCAGAAGCACTATCTCATTTAATGAGAAGATTTGCAAAGGTAAATTAAAGCCAATGCATCTCAACTAAGCTTCAGAGAGAATGACACTGTTGCCATGTACTTGAAAGATAAGTGATTCCAGTGCTTTTTAGAATCAATGGTATTTAGCTACTTGGGATCCTCAGAAAGACATGATGTTTGTGGCTTAAGGCTGGGTTTTGTCTACTTTGTCAAAATGGTTTACCAGCTTGAGAATCTCTGAGATTTCACATTTATGTATTTTATACATATATATGTATGCATCAATTGTTATCTTGCTAAGAACTGATTGCAGTTCCATTAATGGAGCCATTAATTGAAATTCAATTAGCTAATTAGGTAGTGCAAGTGAAGGAAAAATTCAAGGTGTGGCAATAAGGAATTTTTGTTTGAAGTCCTGAGGTGGTAGTTATTCACCTGCTGCTTGATAAACTCAATTGTGCCTGCTTTCTATTTCGATAGTTACATTTCCTCACAAGCTCTGAATTTCTATTATAGTCCTGCTGTCTTTAGAAAAGTTCACATTTACATTTAATTCTGTTCTTTCATTGCAACTATTCTCCATTTGCAGACTTCTTATTTCCATGATTATTGTAAGGTAACTCACATTGCCAGGCTTTGAACAGTGCTCCTCTTGTCTTATATTTCCATTATATTTCTAGTCTACATATTGCCACCCTGGAGAATTTTTTGAGCTTGCTACTGTTCCATTAATTATGTAGTACATTGCAAGGAGTAGAGTTCTCAGTGCTTCTCAAAAGCAGTACTGCTAAAATTAAACTCTCTGCTATTGAAGACTGCTTTACATTAAGAACTACCCACCAGCTGCTGTGCAAGGATTTGAAAATGTGATCACGAGATTGCTTTCATTATATCTAAAAAATATAATATACTATGTGTGTAAGCACCTGTAAAGCCTATTGTTTATATAAACCTCTTCTTTTAATAATTTTGGTTTACATTATGAAATTCACCATTTAAAAGAGTCTTCTCCTCTTCTAGACCATCAACAAAGTACTTGTTCAGTATGCTGCAATCATTTCAAGTTACTTCAGCTCCTATTGTGATAAAGAAAATGTGGTGAGTAAGAATCTGTGGCTTTTTTCTGCCTCAGAAATTGCCTTTAAATGACTTACTGTACTTTTTGAAAATGTAATCACTTCTATATATGAAAAAGCATGAATGGAGGGAGGTCAGCATGTTTTCATAGCTGCTTACAGTGATGTGTAAAAGCTACAATAAGTGAAATTAGTTAAAAATTCTAGTTAATAATTCCAGTATTAAAGCTATAAAGTAATTACAAGATGACTACAAACATGCCGTGGTTAACAACCTAATACCATGGTGAACATGGTGAGTGTATCATCTTGTTTCTCAGAGAGGAAAATATCTTTGTTTGGGGTTTTCCCTTTGCATTGCCTTGCCTCTCTGTATCAGTTTGTGCATCCCCCGTGCAGGGAACGGGTGCAGAGCTTTCAGCTGCTGCCCCTCACTGGGCTTTACTTTATCCCTGCAGAGGGGAGAAGAAAATTGTGCTGTTTTGTTGCCTCACTGCTTACAAGGGAGTCCCTAATGAAGGACCAGATTGCCAAGGGCTCAGAAATAAATGAGATATGGACACTAAAGATGTAATTGAGCAAATGGAAACATTTTCAATACTTTAACAAGACCAGGGAAAAGTATTCTTGGGAACTGGCTTTTCAATATCATTGATATTCAATCAAAGCTAGCTCTCCCTTGGCAGGCAGCTTTTAGCACAATGCCTGCTGTATTTAGTAGTGTTTTGTGCAGCTGTACCAATCTGCAGTGGATCAATGACTGCAGCCCCATCCTCAGACTGTTCACCTTTAATGGAAGAGCCCTTAGCCCATCACAGATCTCAGCAGTCCTTGTGCCACATCCCTGTGTATGACATCTGCCAGTGCTCTGTACAGTTCAGGGCAGTGTGGTGGTCTAGAGGTCACCTACATACAATAATAGAATTTTAAAAGACATCTATTGCAGCTAAATATCAAATATTGGGAGCTCCTATGAATCTAATGTTTATATTAAAAAAAGTTCACTGCTTTCTAGAAGAGAAAACCTGTCCAGCTGACTGGGAGATGGTTCCCTGTGAGGCAGCACTGCTCTTGGTGCACAGTCATGGGCTGAGCAGGCAAAGAGAAGGGTCAGTTAAGGAGGAAGGAGAGGCAGCAGTGGACAGGAAGTTCCTCTAATGGAACTTGAGAATGTAGGAATGAAGATGGTCTTAGAAATCTTTTCCAACCGTAATGATTCTGTGAATGTAGGCCTGCTGAAGAGTTGCTCATGCACAATCTCACATTTGATGCTCTCTCTGTAGGCCTGTATCTTGATGAACAACATTCAGCAATTAAGAGTCCAGCTTGAGAAAATGTTTGAGTCCATGGGAGGGAAGGAGGTGAGTCATATCCGTGTCCTGGTTCATTTAAAGTTCCTTAGAGATCATTAGCACCATATCTGCAACCTAGTCAAAGCTTTCACTTCTACTTGCAAAGAAAATCAAAATGTTAAAAAAGAAGTCTACAAGACTTATTTACCGTCCTGACAATACTGCAAAGACGTAATGCTAATTCACAGACACATGCTAATGATCTGTAATGTTCTATCAGCTCTGGGTGTTTTGTGTTGCAATCTGTAGTGCCAGCTTTATTTTAATGTTTGTATTGGACTATACTTTGCTTTTTATGTATTGGTACGTTTTGTCTGTAATGTGTCATTGTCTTTGTCTAATGCCTTTGACTTGCAATCCACTGAGCAGAAGAAAGAAGGAGAGAGATTCTCTTATGAGGTTTGTGATAGTAAGCATCTTTTATTATTCCTGACCATATTTTCTAAGGCTAAGAACAGTCATATTTACTACATATTTCCATTGATGCATTTGTGTAATTCCCTATGATCTTAAATCAAAAAGAGCTATGCTTGGGCATTTAGTTGACACTAAACTGAAAAGTTTTACTAGGCAGATAGTGTAAAGCCTTTCAGAGTTCTACAAAAATCTATAAAACATTTTAAGTGCACTTTTCAGTATCTGAAGGCCTGCTTGTATTCAAGATACCATTTCACCAAGAGCTTTTACTCAACAGTTCAAAATACCCTCAGCTTTACCCCGTTTTTCATTTCAGAAGATTTAAAAGCGCCTGGAGTCCTGTCCAACAGTAAAAGGACATAAACAGTGCTTCAATACCTTCCTGACTGTAGTCTTTTACTGTTCTGAAATATGATGAAAAAATTAACATATTTTCAAGCCATATTAAAAATCCTGTCTACTTGTTGAGAAACAATGTTTAGAACATGAATATCCTACCCATATTATCAGTAGCTGGCTTTAAAAATTAAGTTCTGCATGCATCATCATTTTCCTTCTTGAGGCTGTAGCTTGATAGATTCACAGAACTTTGATCTAATGTGGCCACATTACATAGAGAGAACTGGAAAACACGGCATTTCATATTTCCACATCCACAGTGGTGCCCTGCAGAGGTGAGATGGGTCCCCTTTGCCATGCAAGGAGCTGCAGCCTCCAAATTCACCTACAGAGTCACTCCAGTCCCTCCTGCTGAGCCAGGAACAGCTCCTTGAAGCTGCCACTGCAAAAATAATTCCTGCTCCAGATAACAGGAAATAAACTTCTGCAGCCTTGTCACTGCAAATTTCTTACCAAACTTTGAAAATAGACATTCATCATCCAGAAGTGGCTGTTTTTGTGGTTCCTCTTGTATCTTTTCCCTCTCTGAATATTACAAGAAATCTCGTCCTTCATGCTTTTATGTTCTGTGCAAAGTACTTTTGTATTAAGTCTTGGATCCAATCTTAATTTTGAATGTCATGATTCATGAAAACAGGTAAATGTCCATAAATCAGGATAACGACAAGGGCAGAGGAAAGCTGAGTCACATTTTATGTCTATTTCTATCAAATTATTTTCAACCAGAATATTTGCTTGAACCTCTAAAATGTCATTTTTCCACAAGAAAATATTAGTTTTTCATTTGCTTCTAATCCCTTATATAATTTTTTTTTAAGTTAGGCATTTTTCATAGCAATTTTCTTTCAAAAGTTCTTATGACTTCTCATCCTTTTTGGTTTTCTCTTGATGTTAATGAAGATTAATTATCAAGGTTGTTACAGTATCAAAGCAGAATTTCCTACAAATATGGTACAACACACAACCCACGGAGACAATTTAGATATATTTTCCTATAACCCCTTCATTAGGTGCCTTAAGTGCATCTCTCATTCACAGTCTAAGACAAAAGATCTTAAAAATACATTTGGACTTCTAGGGCTACTTCTTGAAGAAAAGCAAATTCATGTTCAATTTTTTTTCACCCATATCAAAATGCCACTAAAATGTTTGTCTTCCAATTGGAATATTTACTCCCCTCACTATTCCAGAGGCCCAACTGCTAATGGCCAATTTGGCTTATTGAACTGGTACTCATAAGAAACAAAGCCAGCAATAAAGTCTGAAAGCAGTTTCCTTGAAGGGAAAAAACAGTTTAATATTTCACTTGTGGAGGGCATAAAAGTCAGATGATTTTCAGCAAAATAATGAGACCTATTTCAGTTGAAGCAAAACTAATTCTAAGAAAAATTAAATGCTGTTAATCTCCTCAGTGTCACACTGTGAGCAGTATGTCTTTCAAACTGTGCAGTCAAAATAACCACAATCAAGCAGCTATCCCTCTGTTCAGAGTAGGCTTATTGCACATTGCAGGCAGGGAGCTCTATAAATAGAGAAAAAACTGGTTTCTCAGATCCCCCACCATTAAAATAAAATAGTCTGAACAAGATGAGCTTCTTTATTAGCTGTCCTCCTCTGCTGCAGCAAAGCAGGGAGGGTACTTACAAATCATATCAATGAGAACAGTCTGCCATAAGAAAGAGTAGTAAAGTGCATCCAACCCAGTGTTTGTTTGGGGTTTTTTTAATCAAGTCCAAAAACATAGGAACAGATCATCATCATAGAATTTTGGTTTAGCTCCTGTATGTTTCATCCAAAAGGAATGCATACATTTACACTAAATATTTTTTTTCATGTCTGACAAGCTGGAAGCTGATAAAAGAGAAAGAAGGGAAGGCAGTGATTATGTTGTTTTACACCAGATGACAGAACATGGCAGAAATGAGTTACAGTAATTAGGATCAAAAAAAAGAATGTGTAAAGCAAAAGGAGGTTATGTATGACAACCTTTATTATATAACCTACTATAGATAAATCATATTCCCACTTTGGCAAATTCAGTTCCAATTTTACACATAAAGCTTAGGAATTCCTATAGAAATCTATACGTGGCCTTAAAGACTTTGACGGGGTGACCAGACTTCAGCAGAATAGTTCAGCAGTGTCCATCTTTACATCTTGTACAGAGGCCCAAGTGCTTTTCACTGTGCTTGGAGCAGTGGCAGCCAAACATCTCCCATCTCACTGTCCTAAGGGTGTGGGTGGAGGAGAGGTGGTGTCTATCAGAGACAGAAAGAACCACTAAAGTTACGGAGCTGGTAAATATCTGTACCTGCAGATATACAGAAAATATGTCAAACTATTTTCTGAACAGAATTAACCAGGAAATTCCATTAGAAAAATGATAAGTAATTAGACTTGTGAAATTGTAAATGGAATTCAGATTAGAGAGGTTCCATTTAACTCATGCAAAAGTAATTTGCATCTCTGTAGTTTCCTGCAGAAAACACCAAATTTGCAGTTGACAAGATTATGTCCATACTAGCACACATTAAGTTACAGCAGGGAATACCTCAATCTGAGCCATTGAAAGCAGCCAAATCCATCAGATTTTTAACCGTTTTCCAAGTCTTGTCTGTAAATAAAAAACTTACAGTTTTAAGACAGGCAGAATTTGGAAACAGTGATGTTCAAATATTTATTATTTTTTCAGCTGTTCAGCAAATGTGTTCTCAGTTTTTGTGTAGCATTCAGAAAAAGTCAAACTTCTAATTATGTCTTTGATAATGCATAATCAAAAGATCTTATGTAGTGTGCCAACAGATTTATGAGTACATTCCCTTGTGGGTAAAAATTAATTCTGCTATTTAAGAACATAGTAAAATAACAGAAATATGAGCTTAGAAAAGGCAAGAATATTAAGAATTGATATAAAAGTATGATTTACACATTATTAATGAAATAAACTGATCCTTTAAAAAATCCAATTTTGAAACCTTAGGAACCTACCCCAATATATTTTAAGGCTAGTCCACACATGCTGGGAACAGTAAATGGAACCCAGAATACATTTGTCCAAGGTATAAATGCATTTTTTCTCTTTTGCTGCTTAAATTAGATATGATACATTAATGACACTCATAGCTGGGTTTTATTGTTGGTTTGTTGTTTTGATTTGTTTTTTCACAAAATAATCTGCTCAAGTAGAGCCTTTTATTTTCCTTGTATATGTTCAGGAAAGTTTGTTAATTTTCATTCCTCCTTCATCAAAATCTATGAAGCAAATGAGACTTGAAGAGAAAAAGAGAAGTCCCCAATACCACAAATACTTCATTTTCATGTCTGTATATCCCTCTCTGCCATAGTCTCAGATGCTGGTCAGCATTGCCTTTGGTCTCACTTCCATGCTTCCATCTTAGCTCTTCCATATCAGGAAAAAGAAGCAGGTCATGCTGTGGCATATTTGGGTGACGCCTGAGGACAATCATTAGCACACAGAAGCCACATGATAAAATAAATGAAAAGTGCACATTTTAGTTCTGGAGAGACACTTAAATCACCATTTTTTCCAGTACCTAAAGAGAAGTAGCATTTAAAAATCTTGCTGACATCTTCCTAGTGATGCCAGCATGGCCAGGTGTAGAGCACCTGGCCGGGCAGCCCGCATACCTCTTTGTGTCGCACGCCTCCCCGTGCCACCTCATCGATGAGCATGAGCATGTGTACACACAGGGCTGGGGGTCCTGCCAGATGCCTCCAGCTGTGCACACACAAACTTGTTCATGCAATTTGTGAGCACAAAGCCTCTAAAATGTTTAACAGTTGCATGCACCCTTCTATAATGTGTATAATGTCCACAATCTGGCATTAGCATTTGACCCAACTTTGGCCGGACTAAGTTCAATTCCAGGTGAATTTAGCAGATACATTGTGTTTTCTGGTTATCACAACAACCTCTGATAGAAAGTAACTACATTGACCTCTATGGGCCCAGTAACAAGGTGATTCTTTAGTTTGTGCATGATCTGCTAAGAAATTTTGAGTCTTCTGTTTGCCTGGTATTTTGTGTTTTCCTTGACATGTACCGTGTTCAGTGTGAATGCTTGTGTGTTCTGTGTTTGTTAAATGTTTATATTCTAGTGGTCTTAAATTTGGGGGTTGTATGTATCCCTCCAAAGGAGACAGTATCATTCCCTAGGGCAATGCATTTCCTGGAAAAATCTTTGCCTTTGATAGATGCCTTAATTTGTTTACTAATATAGTCATTGCAGTAAAATTAGCTTTGTAATTCCTGCTCTTCATATGAAGGAAAGCAATCACTTTAAGTGTATGAACTGTCAAAGTGTATCTGCCAGGGACACAACTAAGATATACAGAAGCAACAGAAGTTCTCTCAATGCAAAGTAATTCAAAACTTAATCAGTAAGTAGTCACAGTAAGTACTTACAGTAATAAGTAAAACATGAGCTTCTCAGATTAGAAGAGTTCTACACGACACTGAGTATCTTGTAAAGGATGTGTGGTAATTCCCCCCTGTCACCTGTTTCAGGTTCTTGTCAAAACCTATAGTGAAAATGTTGAATTTTCTATGATTTTAACCCACACATAACCTCTAAGGAGATAAAGGTTTGTCTAAGATTAAAACAAAGTAGATCATTGGATCTATTTCAGTTTGCTTTGCTGTAGAATTCCTGTGTAGTCTCATGTAAATTATCCAGCTTCCCCTTGTCTCTGAAGTGTGATTAAAAGAACTGACCTGCTGCACCACGGTGTTCTGAAGCACCAGAGGAAAAATAAGCACCAAGCACTACTCATGCAGTTGAAAGATAGAAAAACACAAATAGAAACAGCCCTGATTATGTATTCTAAATGTGCAGTGTCCTTTGAAATTGTCAGAAGATCTGTACCTGACATTGCTGCAGAACAGAGTTCACAAATTAAGGTTTATCACTGAAAATCTTTCCTTAACACTGGGATGTAGACAGCTAAAAGACCTGGCACATCAGCTATTAATTAACATTCAGCTGTTGATCCCAATGATCATCTATCATATCCCACAATGGGCTGTAATTATTTTTCCTGAGTGCTAAAGATCAGGGAGATAAAAAAATTATTCTTTTTTATTTTAAAAAGAATCCATAGCAAATAAACAAGTTTGTTGACCAATATCAATAGGGTACCTTTTGGATTCAAAACCTATGCATGGATCCTCATCCCTGTAAATATGAACATATATCTCTCCCCTGCATTAACTTTCTTCCTATGTTTAGAAAACCTGTATCAAAGCATCAGAATGTGTTGCTCTGTGCTTGAATTTTGTTTGCCCTAATGGCTTTTAGAAACAGCAGTACTGAAATTTGGTAGAGTCCCTTCCCACATACTCTGTCAGTAGAATTGGCATGGATGGCCTTCAAGCCATCTTTTTCAGTGCTGGCTGTTCTAATTTTACACTGCATTATGGAAACATTTGAAATATGGAAACAACTTTAATGCAAATCACAAAAAAACCTACCAACAGTAGTGAAAGTTACAAAAATAATAAAAATATGAAGGCATCTGCACTACTATTAACATGAGCACTGACTTTTCCTGCATCTTCTCTTTGTGTGTCTTGTTGAATACCACTGGCCTGATAAAGGTAGTTCTCTTCTTGTGACTGCCAACAACCTTTCCCAGTCTCACAGAAAGTCATTTTCCAATGGCACAGTTTTGATTTCTAATATAAACATTCCCTACTATAATCAAAGATTTTTCCGTATATTTTTTTAAATGGTAATTGTATTTTAAGGCCTGCTAAAGCAATTCTGTGTCTGTTCCAACAGGTGTTTCCACATTTTGTTCTCCATAGTGCAGTGCACCTTTGCATATAATTATTAATTCATTGATTGTAAAGGAAACCCCAGAAACCTAGTGTATAAATAAAATGTAATCTTATTTATCTTTGCAGTTGGATGCTGAAGCTAGTGTTGTTCTGAAAGAACTTCAGGTGAAACTTAGCAATGTATTGGATGAACTCAGTGTAACTTATGCTGCAAGGTAACAAACCCATTTTACTGCAAACCTTAGAGGAATATTTCTGCTCAAAAAATCTCCCTCATTGATGAAGTCTGGGTGGTTATTTGGGTGTCCTGAGGCACGGCTTGCTTCTGCCCTGATGGAATAGTGTGCATCTGTGTGTGTGTGTGTGTGTTTAGACTCTGAAACAAATAACAGTAACCTCACTGTAAAGACAACTGAACATCATCTGTGAACATGAACATGTTACAGAGCTGAGGCTGATGGCTTTTGTTCTGCTTTTTGGAGAGCAAACTCACTGTTTTTTTCTTGCCTGATGCTATGTTAAACTTCCCTCTGACCATGTTTATGTTACTTCCTGTGATTGACAGCTTTTTCCAAGTCAAGCAGGGATGTCTGCCTGTGTTTAGCCTGCTTCAAGTGGTCATTGTGAATGGCCTTCTTGGGTCATTTGCTTGCCTGTGGCTCTTCAAAAATTGTCTACTGAGCCTTACTCTCAATATCTTTCATTAATCAGAGTGCACACTGCAGTCCTGAATGAGTATGGTGCTGTGCCAGCAGTGCTTATGGTATAAAAAGTAGCAAGTTACTTTTGCTTCAAATTAGAAAGAAGACTAAGGAAGATGGATTAGTGCTGTAGTGGTGCTCATTAAGCAAAATCTGTAGTTGCTTATTTAATCCTTCCATGGGCAGTCTGGGTGGACAGTCTGCTTTTTTCCTGAGTGTGCTTAGTTTGCTGTATTGTCTTGCTGTACTTTTGCTCCCAGGCTCTGCTTCTCGGATCATTGACAGTGCATGAATATTATTTCTTTCCAGGGCTTCTTTCTGAATGAGCCAGCTAGGTTTCTGCAAAAGCAAACCCAGAATAGCTCAGTGCAGGATAAGCTCCATATAGCTAGAACATTCCTCGTGGGTCAGTTTACTGCCTGGGTCTGTGAGGTTAACAATGTTGGAAAGATGTCGAACGTCAAGGCAATGCATTATTTTGGCTTTTGTTGGAGGGACTGGTCCCAAGAATTCCCATGAGCAGTTTCACTAGCTGCCTCATGCAGATTTTATCTAGGGCTTTAAAGTGTGTAGGTAAGTGTACTCTGAAGTGCATTTGGAAAAGTTTCTGATTTTTCCAGTGATTTCACATGGAGGTTTGCATTCTCTTTTACCAATTAGCCATGTCACTGGAACAACTGATTGTTCCTTTTCTCTTACAGTAAATTCTCTTTCACTCTCCTCAAGTTAATCTTTGTCATTTATCTTTTCACCTTAACAGGCCATGTATATTTTTGGCCTCTGTTTTGCATTTCTGTTCATAAACTAATCCTAAACCCTTTTGATCCATCATAAATCAACATATAAACCAAATCATTGTGTGTGCAGAGATTTTTCCTGCCTCTGAACGGGTGACTGATTAACTGCTGTTCTGCTTTGTGTCAATATGTTGTCCTAAGATTATCACATCAATAGCACTTTAAGACTGTCAGACACTCAAGCAGATCAGTTAGGAAACAGAACAGTTTTCAGAAAAGCAGAGCAGATAAAAACTTGAGGAGGAAGAATGTGTTCACAGTCACCTTGAAGTGAAAAATATTCCTCCCAGGAGGAAGTCTGAATGCTTCTAAGCAAGGGGGTTTTTTACAAAATGATATTTTAAACAGTCCAAGAGTTTTAGCTCTGTGTAGTTGCAAAGAAGTAAAAAAACCTTGTGATGGCACTGACTGTATGAAATCTGGAAAAAATCAAATTGAGCCAAACAAGGCAGAATCAGTAAGATTTTTTGATTTTAGCTCAAAAATCAAAGCTTGGTTCCTATTAACCATCAAGAGAAAAACTATTTATCATCACCTGTTTGTATCATCCTTTCACACCAAAAATAAAACCTTGAGAAGTTGCTCATAGCTAGTAGTCAATCACATCTAACCTATAGGTTTTGATACATCTGTTGCTTTCAGAAAATAAATAGTTGGCACACCTACAAGGGTATGAAAATTGTGGCAGAATGGAAGCAAGGCAGGGAAAAGATCAAAACACAGCATGAATTATTATATGAACTATGATTCTCCGTAGAACTTATTTTCAGACTGTAACACCACAGTATCTTCAATTTTGGACATCACATCATTGCAGAAAATATTTAAGTCTTGTTAAAGGGCTTGATGCAAAAGCATCATCATTGTTTTCTCTGCCAGAATTCTTTCATTCTCTTTTTTTTTCGTCCCATAGTTTCCAATTTGTTGTTGAAGATTGTGTAAGACAAATGAGCAATGAACTGAATCAAATGAGAGGAAATGGGAATGCAGCAGCCAATAAGAACAGTGCAGCCATTGATGCTGAGATTGTGCTTCGGCCTCTCATGGATTCCCTGGACAAAACGTAAGTGTGGCAGTCTGGGAACTGGAGTCAGGCACACTTGGTTTTACTCTAAAGCACTGTTGATACCTGGAAGCACTCTCTATAGCATTTTTAATATTTCTAGTGTTCACTCTGTGCAGAATCCCATGCCTAACCTGTTTACTTACACTGAGCAATTTTTACATAAGCTACAGGCTTGTCTTTCCATGTCTTGTCATATTTTGAGTCATTGAAAATGAGCTGGTGCATGGCCTCTCCTCCACAGGCTGTGTTATGAAGATTGTTCTGAACAAAAGAACAAAAGTAATTCCTATACTGAAGTGTTCTGGCATTTGTTCTGGGCTTGTACCCAATGTCCCACAGCTTATTGATATGCACTTCTGTGTCACCAAAGACCAGATCATCATCTAAACAGCACCTTGATTTTTTGATTTATTTTTTTTTCAATTGGTAAAATTCTAAGTTTTGAGAGACTCCTGCAAACTGGTTCTGGCCTCTGTAAGTAAGCATAAGTTATGCTATTATCATTCAGCAGTGACAAGTTCTGAAAGGCCACGTGCAGCACAGGCACATCTGTAAGCACAATGATGTCCTTGGTCATTGGTGCTTGTCAAACCCCAGTGGCCTTTTGGTGGAAGTGAGAATAAGCAGCCTGGCACTGATCCTTTACTCAAGGTCTTCACTCCTGTTACACATCCCTTTCATTCCTTGTCCAGGTTTTCCCCAGACAGAAATTTTCAAAGTTAAGGTGGAAAAGGTGCTCCAAAAATTTAATTTTACTGTAAGTAATAGATAGCAAGATTGCTCAGACATGTCATTATTTAGAAATAAATTCTTCCAAACAGTAGCTGTGAATTTGCATTAGCTATCAGCAACCAGTTCTACATCCCAGTAGAAATACAAAACAAGAGAGACAGTTGCTTTTTATTTTTAAGACATAAACAAATTATATACTAAAACTTAACTTAGGGGCATGGGAATGCTAAACTGTATCATTCATCAAACTTTATAACTCATCATGATTTTGCATTTTCAATAAATATGCATCAGTGATATACCAAGCATTAAATTAGATAGTGGAGATTTATATGGGTTTGTAGACTGCAAGTCTTTTTACCAAAAATATTTACTGATAATATTGCAAAATAATTTTTCTACTGAGAAATTTTTATTAGTAGAGAAAAGATAAACCTTAATGGCTATTAATCTGAGCATGATAAAGCACCTCTGAAGCCTTAATGCTAGTTTTGGTGACTGATTTGTGGTTTTGTTTTATTCCAGTTTAAGTGTCTCTGCAAAAATCTGTGAGAAGACAGTTCTGAAAAGAGTTTTGAAAGAGCTCTGGAAGTTAGTCTTAAACAAAATAGAAAAGCAAATTGTGCTTCCACCACTGACAGATCAAACTGTAAGTGTTCCAGAGTACTTCTCAGTTGCTATAAAGGACTGTAATGATGTGCCTGACCCTGTTCTGTACCTTGACCACAAGGAGTAACAGCTGGACTGCAGGCAGTGTGTTGCTCTTGGGTGTCTCAGAGTTGTGCAGCCAGCTTGCTCTTAGCTGGTGAAGAAGACTTCATTCCTTCATTTACTGCCTGCCCCAACTCAGAGCAGTTTTTATGAATGTAGTCATGGAGAAAATGCAGTCATGTGCTCTCATACAGGGTGTTTTAAATCCAATTTCTTTCTCTGCTTCACTGTGCACAGTACAATGAAGAGTGTTCCTTGCCCTTCCTAGTCCTATCAGAAACTCAATCACTTTCATTTTTCCAGCTTTGAGAAAGCCAAGGGTGCCCCATCCCATCCTGCAGCCCTGCCTGCTGTGCCCTTCCTCATCTTGAGGCAGCACTTAATTAACATCAGGAAGCTTAACCCAAATATAGTGCTAAGGATTTGGGGTATTTTACTAGCAGACTGGACAGGAGGTGTTCTTTGGGCAGAGCTGCATTTCCAGCCTGCTGAGGGCACGGAGCTATACTCACAGAAAGTGGCTGCACAGGAGACTTGTGGGGCATGGCCTGATGTGAACTCTGGTGGCTGAGCTGAGGACAACAGTGACATCTGATCCTGCCAAAGGATCAACAGGAGAGCTTGGCTTGGAGGCCTTTTCATAATTACATGGAGGTTTTTGGGGTTTTGTTGGGTTTTTTTGTTGTTGGGGGGTTTTTTTGGGAGGGTGTTGTTTTGGAGGTTTTTTTGAGATATTAGGATAACATAACTTAATTCATTTTGTTTTCAATCTTATTTAAAATAAATTTGCCATCTTATGACAAGCTAATCATGATGTTGCCACAGTGTACCTTTGGCAACTTCACTGTTACACATTCTATGGTACCCCTTCAGCTGCTGGTCAGGGTCCATAGGTTAAAGGCATATCATTAAATTGTATTATAATAGATTGAAGATGTGTGAAAATATATTGCTGGATGGGCAGGAAAAACTCTAATAGAAAATATATCAATGGTGCAGAGATAGTAATGAAATTACCTGAACTACTAAAAATTCTCAAGTAGAGCTGACCATGGCCAGGACTCCAGTCATTGAGTTTGTTCATATTTACTGTCATGATCCTGTTAACTATGCATAATTAGAAACAACCTCTATTTCAATAAGTTTCATATTTAGCTTTCTGAGATCATTAATTTGTTTTCAAGCTTTTTTGGTGCAAATTTTATCTGCCAATACATAGGTAGCATTTCAATTGGGTAACTGCATTTTCCATCATGTGTTAGGAGCATTTATTGGCTTTATGCAGGATCAATTATTCATTGAACAATCTGTTTATTGTCCACAATTCTTTAGTGGTAGCCTCTACATAGAGTGTTTCTGGTAGGCATTGTGAACTATTTCTGTTTATTTTGATTCTTCTATTAACTACTGAACACATAATTAAAGAAAATCACTGAAAAGAAGGATAACTGTGAGAGATTTTCTAGCCCTGAATATTTCTTTATGTTTGAGGGTGAGAGGCACGGACATTCAGAAATGGGGTTTATTGTTTCACACACATATATATATATATATATATATATATGCACACATATATATACACTTATTTATCTTACCATTCTCACTACTAAAAAATAATGAAGATTTAAGCTGTTGTTCTATAATACATTTTCTTCAATTGAAGCTTTTAGGAAGCAAAATTATTTCTGGAAAATGAAACTCTTTGGAACAGAAAGTCTAATGAAAAATTAAACCAGTGTAAGTTGGGTGAACCTTTTTATCTGAAATCCACATAATCAGAACTGTCTTGTTGAACTGCCATGTAACTGCACTGGTAATTATATTGTTTGGAGTAATTGTGGTAAAAGATGTGAGCATGGAATTACAGTAGGGTTCTGTTTGTCTGAGACAAATGTGTAGGCATTGGCCTTTGGTGTCATGCCAGGATTTGGCTATTATAAAACACTGCTTTAACTTCTTAACACTTCAGTATCTTTTCTTTAAAGAAAGGCTCTGGCTCACAGTACAGTGTTGGGCTGAGTTTTACTCAGCTGAGGTTTCCCTCTACACAGGCTTTTGCAGGTTCCTCAGGGCTGCTCACTTCCCAGTATGATTGTTCATTTTAGCACAGCACCTGAGAGCTGCAGTTATGGACAAACATCTCACTGACACACACTGAGAACAATCACAGCCTCAGCTTTCAGTATTAAACACAAAATGAGACAGCAGAAAGGAGAACACAAAACCACTCTCAGCAGAAAGTGCAATATTTGTATCAGCCATAGGGTACTGGAGGGAATCTTGCTGCAGGCATTCAACCACTTGGCCTTATAAACTGAATGAAAATGTGTCTCCTGTGCAACTGAAACTTTTATTTAGCTTTGCAGAACGGTTACATTGGCCAATGTCCTAGCAGAAAATAAGATTGTGTTGACATAAAAAGCAAATATGCTGTCATGAGTCTGTTTCCTTAATTTTCAATGTGATTACAGGGGCCCCAGATGATATTCAGTGCAGCCAAAGATCTTGGACAACTGTCAAAACTCAAGGTAATGGAGCCAGATGAAGCTGTGAATGGCTTGTGCTAACAAAAAAAAGGGAGGAAATATTAGTGACTGTGAGGCCAAACCTCATGCCTTGTTCTTATATAGTATCATAAGATTGAATATGGCAGTAACTACTCAGAGGTGAATAATTATTGTATATTTTCACCAAAACCGAGTTATGAATAAAAGACTCCATGCTAATATGGTAAGTGATCACTACATGGGCCGAGAAGCCATCATTCCCATATTGTGCAACGAGGCCTTACGGGCATTAAACATCACCAAAAAAAATCTTTGCTTCTGTAACCAGTCCTGAAAAAGCCCTTAAGGTGAGTAGTGTTCTTTCTGTGGACTATTTGTGTGCATTGAAACATAGTATGTATCTCTGCAGTAAAATCTTCAGCACTTCACTGCTGGAGTCCACTTGATGGACAGCGGAGATGTTTGATACTGATGTCAGTTGTTTGTCAGTCAATTCTGCCATCAGGATTTCAGATTTGTATAGAAATGTAGCATTTGGGGCCTCTATGAATGCTTGTTCAGTTTGCTAGAGGAGTTGAAATATTATTTCTTTCACTGACTGCTTATTTAGACAAAGATTTAACAGGAGGGTAGTCACACTGTCTAACATGTTCTAATAGGAACCCCTCCTGTTTTTTTTAAACATAGCACGTTAACAAACATCTGTTAAACTGTCAGGTTTGTTAATAAAATTAATTACTTCTATATCTTCTAATATAATTATTTTAAGTTTAATTTTGACCTTTCCCCCATCCCCCAAAACAGAGAAATAATACATCCTAGGAAAAGAGGTGCTCAGTATTAAACAGTGGATCTGGGTCTCTACAGTCTATGTTTTCAAGAAACAACACAATTGCTCTAGGTTATAACTCATTGTGAAAGGATTCTGAATTAATCCCTGTTAATCATAGTCCTTGGGGGGCATTTGGTGCATGTTTGTTTGTTTTGCAGAGAACAGATATTCACAATATTGTCTCTTTCAAAATCAACTGCAGTCTTCTCTTGCTTTGCAGGACCACGTGATCCGAGAGGAAGCCAAAAGCCTGACCCTGAGGCAGTGTGCAATAATGGACGTGGCACTAGTGACTATAAAGGTACAGCTTTGTGTGTTCTTCTGCTCTGTGCTGGAATGCCCAAGAGTGACTGATTGGTTTTTAGATAAAAGACCAGAGACTTTTATACAGGCTTCATGGAATTGCTTTCTGAAGTCAAAAAAAGTCATTAGGAATATTTAATATATAATTTAATTTGCTTATCAGTCTTTTTCACATTGGCCTGGATCATTACTCGGTGTAAATAACTTAAAAGCAATCAGTTTCTAGAATAACAGCATATTTTCCTCTCTGCTGGGAAGAGACAGCACATCAGGAAGGTAAGGAGGCAGCTATTGAAGTATAAAATTGAAGATATAAGTAAGAAGAAATACTTATGATCAAGTGTTTTGCAATAGAACAGTCTCCAAGGCAAGTAAAAAATAACAGAGAAGTCTCCCAGTTGCCATTTTTTGTATTTGTAGTGGAACCGGCTTTTCTTTCAGAAATAAAAATAATTGGGAATTAGTAATGTTGAGGAAACAATTTGAACAAATTGAAAAATGGAACAAATTGAAGTATGCTCCCAAAGTAAGCTGTGTGAAGTATGTGAATCTAATAATTTTCCTTTCAAACTATTTGTTCTAAATACATAAAAGTTGGGGAAAATGTAAGCTCTAATTCCAGTGCTTAAACTCTTACAGATGGATAGATAGGTGTTGACCATTGTACTAAAGATTAAATAGGAAAAATCCCTTTGTTAATTCAGCATCCTTATATCTGTGTGCTAAATTGTAATAGTCAATTCATAACATTCATTAACTGAGCTAAAGAATGCCTCCTGAGAAACTTCTTTTCAAATTGTAAGGTAATGACTATGTGCATTACAACTGCCTGCTGTATTTGCAAGCTGATATGGCAAAATTATTTCCAAAATACTTAACAAATAACCTTGATCATGCAGAAATTTGGCTGACACTGGCAGAAAATGAAAAAAGGCAAGTCCTACGAGTTATCCCAAGAAAAAAAAGACTACTATGTTTATTTAGTAATGTAGTTCATATGCTTAATGATGAAAATATAGAATTTTTTTGTAATGCTTAGTAAAAATACAGATTGTTTAAAAGTAAAAATCATGGCTGCCCAGATAAGAATAGGAGAATGATAAAAATAGCAATGTGATGTGTGTTCAGAAATTGGGTAGCTGATTATGGTAAGGAAGGGTTCTGCAGGGAGGAGTATCTCTACTTACAGTCTTTTTTATTTTTTCTTTCATTTAATTCACTGAGAAACAATTACAATTTAATAGTGGATGGTGTTATTAATCTTTTGACAAATGTAAAGAAATATTTTTTAACCTTACATATATATAGCATATCATCAGTCTTAGTATTATGTAAAAAGAACTGACGCTGCCCCTGCCGCAGAACCATAGCAATTTATATAATTATTTAATATTTTTCAGCTTAATTTTCAATTTACAGTTAGAAGAGGTGGCTTTCTGGCCTCAGTTATCTCAGACTAAGTTCCCTGCTACCTCCTTGTGTCAGCCCAGAGTTCCAGCTCCCTCTGTACACCCAGAGAGAAACTCTGCAGAGAGAAAACCAGTGCCCAAAGTGGCTTGAGTGGCTTTGGACAGGTTTGGGTTGAGAGTGCAGTGCCTTCAGCACTGATTGCCATACACTTGGCATCTGCCCCTTTCATTTGTCAGGGTGACTTTCAGACCTCTTGTGTCACCAGCAAACCTAGAAACCACTCAGACAGGAGCAAGAGTAGCAGGAGAAATATTTTAAGGTTTCCATCTCTAGGGAACAGGGTAACAACTGATTCAGCTGAACCTGTAAAACCTTGTTTACTCATTATTTTTCTATATTCAGCTCCATACAGTAATGATAGGATCACATTGCTGGTTTTGCTTGCAAAATTTATCATTTATTGGAAAAACAAAAAAATAGTTTAAAACTCAGGAAAATAAGGGTCAAGTGTCTCTGTTGCTTTCTCTGGCTATTAGCTTTCATGGAACTCTCAGCCATGTGCAGCTGCTGTGGCAGATAACATTTTACTGGGAGACACAACTTCAAAAAAATCACAGTAATTGTCACAACAGCAGGAAATATTAGCAGATTTTTAACACTTGCTTATAAATTGATTATGATTCTTAGTGAAATCATGACTAAACCCTTGAGCAATTAAGATGAGAGATTTGTTTGGAACATATTGTATGAAATAATTTGCTTGGAAAGATACACATTTTATATAATTATGTAATGATGAGGAGATAGATTTATTCAGAACCTTTTAAACTGACACTAACTGTTCCCACAGTATTAAAACATATATGTATAATATTTAATATATATAACAAATACAGTATAAAATGGTGCAGCCTGATAAATTTCAAGCCCCTGTTTTTTCTCCTAAAGATACTTTTTCTCTTAAACAGTCAGTAGACGGCAGCAATACAGAAATGTAAATAATAACTGCCATGAAACATTTATGTTTTATATGTGCACTAAATGCAAAGGGCAGATGTGGACTGTAGGTCTGAGCTGTCAAGATAAGCCTGGGATAAGCATTCAGTGGAGATGTGTGTATGTGAACTGGAATGTATATATTGCATCTGCTCCTTTGGCAACACTGCAAAAAGGCAGGGAGGGGAGATTCTGCTTACAGCCCCCAGCACTCCCTGTACAGAGTGGACCAATATTGCATCTCATCAAGTAGTCATTGTGTTCCTGAAAAACGTTGTTTGTTTTTACTAATCAGCCATTAATGGGAGCTTTATTGATCTTGAGACCTAGAACTGTAGTGGAGGTTGCATAATGCTTTGTGAGGTGCTTGAACAAAATGAAGAGATGTAGCACATTTCTTTTCATTGTAGCAAACATGTATTAATTCATCAAAGACTGTCCTGCAAAAACCTCAGGAAAAATTCTTCATTATGGGAGGAAAAAGGGAAGAATCTGTCCCCTAATTTTTCTAAACTCAGCTTTGGGACTGAAAACATAATATATTTATATATATTTTATATAATAGTGGTCCTCTTCTCACACTGCTACTCAAACACTTCACATTCTAGAGTAGTCTCTGAAGATTTTTACAAAATTCCCTTTTCCCTGAAAAGGATTATATTTTTTATCTGTGCTTGTAAACCATGCCTTCGTTTGAGAGGGGCTTCTGATGTTTTGGGCTTTTAGATAAAGAACTAAAACTTATTTCATTCTCTAAAACTAAAAGAATGCTTCAAATATCTGTTCAGTTTTGGCAAATGAATACTTCAGATCATGAAGACTAAAATCAAAATTTTGTATATTTTCTTCCCCTTATGCTTAACTTTTTTATTCTTGGAAGGAAGCTTTGTAATAGAGATTATGACAGTTATCTCAAATGCTATAATAAATCTACACCTGCCTGTTGCTACTTCAAAACATTCATTTAAGAATTTTACTTCAAGACATATGTCTGTAACTGAGGCCTTTTTTTTCCTGTGATCAACCATGTTTGTTATTCATTTTAGCAATATTTCCATGCTGGAGGAAGTGGGCTGAAGAAGAATTTCCTGGAAAAGAGCCCAGACCTACAGTCCCTCAAATACGCTCTCAGCCTTTACACACAAACTACTGACGCCTTGATAAAGAAGTTTATAGCCACACAAACTTCTCAGAGTAAGTGATCTGTAAGGGACATAGAAATACATCCTATCATATTTTAAATGTTCTAAATTATTGATTGCAGATTGTTTTATCCACCCCCTGTGGTATTTTAGAGTTTATTGGCAGTAATTTGCCCAGGTGATGTATATGATGTTATCCCTTCTCCCAGTGCTGCTGCTGGAGCTCACCTGAGGGCAGTTCCTTTAGGGGCACAGGAGCTCAGGCTGCACACTGAGCACCAGGGCTATTTGTAGGAGCACTGCACATGTTTATATTCCAAGCTGAATGTTTCCTTCATTTTAGAAACTGCAAATTTTTGCATAATAGTAATCTTTGCTAGATTTCTTTTGAATGTAATGAGCATTTGTAAAAATGACCTGCCTGCCACTTCATATCTTTGGGAAAGACTATAATTTGCTGATATAATGAGTTATCCTGCTCCAGCTCATAAGAATCAGAAAATTTTAATTGAAGAGTAAAGCTGGAAATCAATTGCTTTTACTTCTGAAGTAAAATATGTTACTCACAATATAAAAAGCATGAAACGTGAGTTCTGCAGTTTGCCCTAAGAGGTTTTCGAAGGAATGATTTCCTCCTAAGCTGTTTCCATATTAAAACTGAGACCTCTGTTAATAACTCATATATTACAAATGAGAAAATAGCTATACAACTCCAATATGTAGGGAGTAGAGTCTTTTCTCTCCCCCTCAGACACAAATATTAATAATATGGATTCAGGCATAAAACTGTTACTTTTATGTGTATTTTGCTTTTCTTTAACACAGACCTTCATTGTAGCTTCAGGAGAAAAAATAGTTAAGTTGTAGCCATAAGTAATGATCTTTTATAAATCCTGAAGCACAGAATTGAATATTCTGATTTTCATCAGGATTTCAGCCTGAGGTCTGTGTTCATTTCTATGCTCACATTACCGTGCCTGTATTTGCACACCAGTATTGTTAGAAATGTACCCACTGGGAATGAAACTTAAGTAAAAGCTGACCCATAGCTTTTCCTTATCTTTTAATGTCTCATTTAAAAGAATTAAATCCTCATCTATTATGAGCTCCAGCCCCACAGCTGTAACTGTACCATTAGCTTTTAGTTAAAATGACCTTGTTTGCAAATCAGAAGATTTCTCTGGAATATAATCAGATTGATATTTGGCCTATTTTTTTCACATTGTCTATTGATTATGGATTGGCAGTTGGATATAATTAAGGTCAAAGCAATGGAAAAAAAAATATTGTAAATGTAAAGAAGGCATATATTGTACAACAACTGTAGATAGAATTGGATGCTTGTTTTTCCTGTAATAACTGTAATCAGACAACAATCAGGCTTACTTTTACCCACAGGTTAAAATAATTTCTCACTCACCAAGAAAAAGCTGCAGTTTTTCTAAGAAACTGAAGAGCAAAAAATTGTCTGATTAGCATGAAAAGGAGAGTTAATTTACACGTAAATAGCCTAAGGTTGGACTTATGATCATGAAAAGGAGAGTTAATTTACACGTAAATAGCCTAAGGTTGGACTTCATGATCTTGGAGGTCTCTTCCAACTTTAATGGTTCTCTGATAATGGCTCTGTAAAAGTGTGTTATGATACTTCCTGTATTCCTGTTCATGCAGGACAATGTTCAGTAGGAATAACCAAATTATCCAACACCACCATCTGCACTGTTTCTAAAGGAGAATGATTGCTTGAACCAGAGTTTTGTTTCCCAGCCTTTGTGCCCACACATTCCTAAAGATCTTGGCAACAGAGACATTTGCATGAGATAATAATAATAAAACCATTCCAAACTTCTAAAATGGTGTCTCAGGGAGTCATAGTTTTTCCTGTGGTGGTTTCACCACACTAAATAGTTGAAAGTATAATTCCTACTGCCTCTTTCAAATGCATCATGAGACTACATTGTTATAGACATATGCTTTAAAAGCAAAGTATCTCACAGCAGGAATAATGAAATTGACTGCTGTATTCTTTTCAAAGCAACACTACAGACTCGCAACACTTTTCAAAACAGACAAGTGTTGCAAGAAGTAAATGACAATGAGGAGCATAATCTGGCACTAACTTTTTCAGTAACTGCCTGTTTTATTTTTCTCCATATAATGTTGTTCATCACTGGAAGTCTTTTCCAGCTGTAATTATTCTATGCTGATGAAAATTGTAAATTTAATGCTTACTCAGTGTTATGAACACAAACCTGTAACCACACTATGAAAATTAAGGACTAAAGAAAAATGTTGTCTAACAAATAAAGATACAGACAGTACAGGTACCAGATTAGCTTTTTCAGTGAAATGCCATATTAAATGCCTTTCTGCCTGGCAGAGGAGGCAGGAGAGGTTTCTCTTCAACTGTTATCCCAGATCTGCCATACGCTTTAAATCTTGTGGAAACTCTGATCATTATAGAGTTTAACACTGGTCTCAATAGGATAGTAAGGAGGATATACTATATGACTGTCCCTCTGTCTCAATAGGATAGTAAGGAGGATATACTATATGACTGTCCCTCTGTATAAACATTTCCAGAAAACAAGCCAAGCCTGCTAAGCACTTGTCCTGTTTTAATCCCAAACCACAAACATAAAACATGCAGAGCCGCATTTTCTTTTGCAAATAAATTATCAGTATAACAATACATAGAATGATTTATAAACTAGTAACAAAATTTAGTTACACCTATCTGAATTTCACATTTGGTATTACCTAGAAAGGATTCAGCTGATTCTGCATAGCATGTTGTAAGTGCATTCATCTGGATCAGTTTTCTTATTCAGTCATACACAAGTGTTGTCACTGCCAAGAACCATTCCATGGAGCAGGTCACTTCTGGGGTCTCTACAATGGACCTTGATACAGACCTAAAGGATTTTTCAAAACCTGAAGGCAGTTTAGTGAGGAGAACTGAATTCCAAAGGCTGAGTGACCAGTATTTAGCACACTAGGTGGTCACTGATACCTTTGTAAAGAGCACATAAAACACAGCCAGATGAGAACTGTGTACCATTGCCAAGCAGATCACTTGAGGTTCAGATCTCAGACTGATTTTACTTACTCTGGACTTCTGTCAGCTGCAAATTGTCACTTTATTTGGCCACTAATAATAACAATAGTAAACATTAGCTCATGCTGTAAAAGTGGATGGGTTTTTCCCTCTAAATTCAGCTACAGGATAACATTCTTGCATGCATTCAGATTATTGTATGGATTGCTCTCAAAATCTTTTGTAACCAAACCACTCTTTGTGCACAGTCTACTTGAGACAAGCATGGATCACTTGTAAAATAAACTTGGAGGGGTTAGCACTGTAGGGCTGGAACCCCACAGCTGGTTCACAGCTGGAAGGCAGCCAGCCCAGAATTTCAGGGAAAGTTCCAGGGCTTCTGCAAAAGACAAGATTTTGTCATTTTGTATTTTGTAATTGACAAGAGCTCCAGACAAATTGGACAATTTTCAGGTCAGGCAGGACAAGATAATTTTAACCAAACTTGAACTAAATTCAAATTCCAACCACAATTTTCACAATCAGGACAGAACTCTAAAAGCCAAAGGATAAACCCTCACTATACTTCTGTTGGCCTAGTGCATGAACTTTCCTTATCCATGGTATGCTTGGCTTACCCTTACTCTGTGCTGAGGCCTGTACTGGTGGAGCGTCTCTTAAGTCATTCCTGAAAACAGAAGAGAAGCAGTCACCTTTTAAAGTTGTACCTTCACCTTTTAAACTGCTTAAAGTATATAAAAACTAAATGGCTATGGTTTAGTTTTGCAAATGCCTTGAATCTTCAATAATTTCATAAACTATAGCTAGTGCTGTGAATATTTACATTTGTTTAGCATCAACACTAATAACATTTAAACAAATATTATTTTAATTTTAGCAAGCTACATAAAAAGACAGAGACTCAAACAGAGTTTCCTGAATTAGCTCTCAATTATTACCTCTAATTTATCCAAAGTAAACACCACTCCTGCATCTAAAATGGTTATTTATTGGACATAGAGAAATACTTTTTCTTACAAATTTACAGCAGCTCCAGTTCACAAATGTTGTTAGAGAATAATACATAATGGCAGGATTTTTTAGCTTGACTTACAATAGTTTGTATCAGTTAAGCAGAAAAATCAATACTCATAACACAGAGCCCATACTGCAAACCCTACCTGGGTGTTTACCTGGCTGCAGAAAAGGCTTTCCTTCAGCTGGTCAGATTCCAATTGCTTCATTCTAATGCCAGAAGACAATTGAAAGCTAAAAAGGGAAGATATATCTGAAAACAAGAAAATATAATTCTCATTAGGTAAATATGCTTATCTCTAACAGTAACTCCATCCTTGTCTTGTGAAGTCACCAACACAGGGAAGGAAGTTACACAATCAGAAATGAAGACAAATTCTTTTCAACTGTACAGCCAAAATTCAGTTACGTGTTCCTTTGCAACCTGGAATTATACAAAGCAAAGCAGAACCTCAATATTTCATAAATATACAGAATGACATTAAAAAATAATCTGATATTAACTATAGTTTAAGCAAGCAGATAGATGACATATTACAGAAAAATAAAAATTGCTTAAATTGTTTAGCCATTCTTATAGTTGAAAAAGAAAGACCTTTTCTTCTTTTGCTTGTCAAAACCATTGTATTATTAACTGTCATGTTTTGAAAGCTACACCTGTATTCTATCAGGAAATTTAAGTCCTACAGAGCATTTCCAGCTCTCTCATAACCCTTATTTCAGACAGAATTTAACTCAAGAAATAATCCCTGCTTCATCCACTGTAGTTTCAAATTGAGGTCAGAACTGAGTGTTACACAACCTTATTTCATGAAAAAAAAAACCTCCACAGACCAGCATTACAAGCTGAAGAAATCAGAACATTATTGCAAGCAACAAACAGGAAAAATAAGAACAAACAAGAACCATGCTGAATTACATCTAATAAAAGTATTCCAGCATATGCTGATAGCAAAGGAAATGCACTCAGAATAGTGGCAGAAAAATAATTATTTTTAAAGTTCACATTAATAAAACCAAACTGCTGGTAAAGCAGAAGGTCTTTATCAAATACTCACTTAAGAGGCTGTCACATTAGAAAATTTCTGGTTGTTCCCTAAATGAAACAATAAAGCACCTAAATTAGAAACAAGTTGTAAATCAGTTTCCACTAAGAGTTCAAGAAAATAAACACAAGCTACAGGTAACCATCAGTTATATGATATCAATTTTAAACAATTATTTTGTACTAGAAGCAGAGCATTCAATACATACAGAAACCTCTTGAGAGGCCTGTGTGTTGTCTGGGTAAAACACTGGACAGAATACATGCACATATATATATATAAATATATATAAAAAAAATATTCCTACACCCACAGAGGGATAGATGAGGCCACACCTCTCAGATCAAAGCTGGCTCATCCCCAGTTTCCTTAGCACATGGACAAAATCAGTTTTCTCTGCTGCCATACTTTTCTCTAACACACAGAAGAGATCATCTAAGCTTGCTACATCCATCTAACAATTGGGCTTCAACTTTCACTTTTTGGATTAAACTAAAATGTTAAAAAATGCACTCATGTTTTCCTCCAAATCAGTCTTAGGAGCCTGTGAAAAATAACTCCATGAGTCACCCTGATATTTAGTGGCTCAGCACCAGACAAATGTATGTATTTTATTGGCATCATCAATCAAAAGAGGACAGACGCTTGTCTGGATTAAAGTGCTGATTTCATAACTTGTGTAATTCCTAGAGCACTGGAAACTATGAAGGCTTGAATATTTGTTCAACTTTTTCATTCTTGTGTCCCATTTAGAAAATAAGGTCAAAGCAGAAGTGCAGTATTTAAATGAGCAGGTTTCTGGTGAAAAAGCCCATGAGGCAGATGGGAGAGGTTAGACAGGCACCAGTGCCAGGTCAGCTGCCCTGGCTCCCACTGCTCAGCCAGCTTTCTAAGTCTTGGGTAATAAAATCATGTCAGACATGAGTATTAGTTTGCAGGTAGTTGTTTTTTCTTCTGAACTCGCTTTCTAATCTTCAGAGAAGAAAATATCTGGAAACCCTGAACCCTTAGAGGCAGAGTAAAAAAAAAAAAAGAGAAACCGATATAAACATCCACAAATGTTGATACAGTCATACAAAGTTTCAGATTATTGCTTATTATCTTTGGCTACTTTGAGGCAAAAATACTGCAAGTCACCACATAGTTAAATTTTATGCTAACTCATTTTGTGTGAATGCCATTTATTTCTGCTGGGCTCTTTTCATGCAAACCTAGAAGTTGGTTTCCAAAGTCCTCCTCCCGTGAGAACTTTTTGCTGCTAAAAGATCAAGCAAGACAAAGGAATCTTTCCACAGAAATGTACTTTTGTGCACAATCACAGACTGATTCAGTAGGAATCTCTTGTATTTAGCAGGAATATTATAATAGAAAATAAAGGGAGTTACTGTTTTGTTTCTACGAATAAACATGATTCATTTTTCCATTTGCATATTCTGTTATTTACTCAGAGTGCACAAGTTCACCTTTTCCAAAGATATCAACTAAGGAATAGAAGGCATTGGAATTTCTCTGTGTACATATCGTGATTATCACTATCATGACTAAGAAATATTTGACTTGGTCCTTGGTCTGAAATGTCTGTCTTCTGTCAAAATCATTAAAGTTGTAACAGCTCTCACACTGATGCCATTCCAGGTGCTAAATAAGGAGGAATAAAAGCTCCCTGAGGAGCAAGTGTCTTTGGCCAGAGATACTTTTTTTTCTTATTTACAGTTTATTTGCTGCTAAAGAATGACTGCACTTTAAATGCACATGGTCACCTTAAGACCCACCAGTAAGAGGATGCTGTATTTTGAATGATATAAATATACTAGCAAATAAAACATAAAGCAGATATTAGAGAGCAAGCAGTAATAATTAAACATCCATAAGGTTTTCAAACATGAGGCAGAACCATTTATAGGTTTGTTAGCCTTCAAATGAGTTATATTACAGTACTAAAGGAAGAAAAGTGCAGTCATCCTCTGCAATGCATGGAGAGATTTATTGTCAGCTAAATTGGCTTATTAAATGTAGTAGGATAAATGGACCTTTCTATAGTGCAGTGAGAATCACTAATTCCTGCTGTGACTGTATAAGTGATAGTGAAAAGAAAACAAAACAGCAGAAATAGACAGATCAGAGACTTTAAAATGAAGTACCATAGTTCTTGAATGTCAACAAGAGATGCTATAAGCAAATACTAAATGTCCTGGAATTGTATCTCTAGTTTGTTCAGCAGGTCAGAAAGAGAAAGATGGATGGGGTGATTACTGAAAGAAACCAAGTTTATATTCTAGACTCCACTAGAAATTGTCTCTGCGGGCTGAGATGTTCTGCAAACGAGTTTTTCTCAGCAAACCTGAATGTAGAGCCATTTTAATGTCAACTGCTTTTAGTATAAAACTGAGTGATGCTTTGCACAGATTTCTTTATAACCATATCAAGCAGCACTGTACATACAAGACTATTCACACTACAACATATCTGCAGTACTGCTCAGAGCACTCTTCTAAATTATGGACTAAAAGGAAAAGAGATAATGATTAAGAGACCTTTGCAATAACATATTTTGCAAAAGTTAATAAAAAGGTTGGAGAAACAGAACAAGTCTAATCTTACAGATCAATAGATTTTTGTCTTGATGAAATCAATCTGCCATCCCTTCAACCTTCTTTCATTTTTAAGCCCCTCTCTCTGTGCTAGTGCAGAACTCCAGTAATGTCCTGAGACAAAACCTTCAGCAAAGGATTCATCAGTAGTGATATAGAAGTAAAATACACATTTAAGTACACATTTAGCAGTAAGAATTTTGGGAGGTACATGAAAAGCTTGATAAACCCGCCAACTTAGGCATTTCAAGATGCAATGACAACCAAAATGGAAAGTTCCAGAGGAGCAGGATTTCTTATTTCACTGAGGCATGTTCCATAGGTATATGCAATTACCCAGTTCTTTTGTGGCAAAATCATTAATGAATCAGTGACTGATTCCCACTTAAATGTGGAACACATCAGAAATTGTTTAAGTGTTTCTGTTGGAAAATACCACTCACCCTTCACTGTCTGTTTCTCTTGATGCATGGAGAAGCCAGGTGTGCTAACCAATAATTCTTGTTTCAGGTCAAACTGCTAATAATTCAGTGGGTGAGATATCTGTACAGGTGGATGTCTCTACCCATCCTGGAACTGGTGAGCATAAAGTCACTGTGAAAGGTAAGTTTCAAAACAGCCAGCTTTAAAAAGAAAGCAACAAAAAAGATCAAACTTCCCAGCATTACATCCTAAGTCAAACATACCAACACTAAAATAAAAAATGATAAGTGTTATAGTACTTGAGAAGCTATGAGTATACTTCAGGTGATTAGAGGTACACTTTTTTTCCTTGCTCAGCATCAACAGAAGTTCAGATTATGGAGGTAATGTAGATAATTTAAAGTTATTATACTAAATTATAGAGTTATAAATTAAAATATGTCAAATTTTACTTCTCAATTGCTTGTACATAATTCAACTTCCAGAAAACTACAGCAAAGCTGAGTGGTGAATGAATGTACCAAGCCTTAAGAAGCTGCATTTTTAACAAAATCTGAATTTCAGAAACAAGGGATTGTTCAGATTAGTATACGCTTTTTTTTTTTTTTAATTGCAGGGAAGGTAGAAGGCAAAAAGAAGCTGAAAATGTAAAGGATTTGTAAAATACATGTTTATATTTCATACTTTGAACCTAAAAGTAGTCAGACATCTTTACTTGGCAGGGAAGGGGCAAGGTTCCTCCTAGGCTTACCAGGTATTGATATCCTATAGGGAAGCTCTCAGGTCACCTTTTGCTGCCTATACAGCCATACAGGGTAATTAATTGGAACTCTTCCAGTGGAATTTTGTTTAACTTCATTTCTTTTATCTCTTTATAGTTGTAGCAATTAATAACCTAAACTGGCAAACAACAGCTATGTTCCGGCCCTTCGTGGAAGTTTGTATATTGGGTCCTAAATTAAGTGACAAGAAAAGAAAACATGGAACAAAGACAAAGAGCAACACCTGGTCACCAAAGTATAATGAAACTTTCCAATTGTAAGTCTTATGTCTGAGAATTGCATATTTTCTTAAAATTTTCCTAAAATATTTTTGCCTTTAAACCATTAATAACAACAAAAAAAAAAGCCATCCTAAAATAGATATTTAGACACCGTTTCAAAATTATTTACTAATTTGTATCTTTGTTGTATATGAAGATGAATGGCAGTCACCAAACTTTCAGACCTACAAAACCTGGTTAAAATATACAATTTATTTCCCTACAGAGGAATAACTATTTCTGTCACTGGGAATTGATTGGCCTAGGTATTTGTTCAGACAGAAGCATTAATTATTTTCTCCAGATACCTGGCCTTCATGCCTGTAGACACATCTGAATGTGTATTGTTTATCTAAGGCTGTTACCATTTAATTCTTAAATCAGTAAGAACCTTCCACCTAACCTGGAGTTTTAAATTTAGTATTTCTCTGCCCTTTTCTCAGACCAATTTATTTTCCTCCCCTTACCCTCCAAGCCTGAGTGGAAATGAGTTCAGTGTCTGTGTCTCACCACAAAGCTCCTTTGGATGCCTGCTGCCAGGGATTTTCTGTATATTTTGAAGCTGATTTAAAGTCTTGGTGCTGACAGCTGGGGAACCAGCTGAATTTTATGCACTTTCCAGGGAGAGGTAACTGCCTGTTCCAACTATTGAAGGAATTCTGTTTCTGTTCAGGCTGCTGAGAGCAGAGGCTCTATCACTGACACATCTGAAGGGTTACCTGTGCAGAATATTTAAAACTAGATATTCTGTTGTAACAAAATGGAGCTACAACACTTAAACTATCACTCTCACTTCAATTTGTCCAAGGCTTCTAGAGTGAATTAATTCCTTGGGGGACTTAAACCAAACTCCTTGTTCTAAATTCATATTGTTAATCCACACAGCCTGCTGAGTAACGAAGATAAGCCGGGAGCCTACGAGCTTCACCTGTCGGTGAAGGATTATTGCTTTGCGCGGGAAGATCGCATCCTCGGCATGACGGTCATCCAGCTGCAGGGCATCGCCGACAGGGGCAGCTGCGCCTCCTGGTACCCCCTGCTCAGGAGCATCTCCGTGGATGAGACCGGGCTAACAATCCTTAGAATTCTTTCTCAGAGGAACAATGATGAAGTTGCTAAAGAATTTGTAAGACTTAAAACAGAAACAAGATCTGCTGAAGAAACAGCCTAAAATACCCAAGTAATGCAAGGTTGTCACCGCCAAGAACATAAATACAACGCTGTTGTCTGACTAGTGCATGCATGTGCAAATCTGTGGGAATGTTTAACTATGTTTTCAGTGTTTGCCAGTACTTACGTACTATACTTGCAAGGTATGTCAAGGAGCTGTATATCTTTTATACATATTTTGGTCTTTGGTAAAGTAATTGTTCCAATGAAGTGCCAAAACTAAGATTAAGAGTAAATGTTTCATCATCTCTTTTTAAATGTTGATTTCACCTCATCACAGTTTCATTATTTTTTAACATTTATTAATAAATAAGTAGCTTTTTTAATTGATAATAGGTTACATCTGTTAAACTGTGTTGCTTATTCTAAATTAAGTTTCATCCCTTACTCTTATTTTAAAAATGAGGTGTACCTAGTTTTCTTCAAACTCTCATGTTATGCAAGCCTCATTTTAGGTGTCTTACTGATGACTTTTTCTATCATTACTACAGATGCAGTTACTTATAGGAAGTGTTTGTAATTTTATAATTACCAATATAAAGTAATGATTTTTGCATAAAAACTGAAAAAGGATGGAAATATTTTATGCTATTCTCTTTTTCCAACCTTTCATAAATATCACTGTGAAGAAATGCTGTTAAAGCAGGTTCTCAAGAAGCTGTGCTTATCAGAGTTTGTTACTGATGTTTGATATCTTGAGATAACTTTGTTCTTCAAAACTGCCACGGTAGTATCATATTTGTATAAAAAGAGTAAGTCAGTATCTGTAGAAACAGGTTGCTGTACAGTACAGTATATGTGCTTTTAAAAAGTGATTTTTTTAAATGATATGGTACTGTACAAGGGGTAGTAGTTTGGAATATGTAACGCCGGTTTGTGGTTTGTTTCTAGAAATTGTTTATGAGAAGAAAGATGCTGTTAGCATTTTCACTCAGAGTTATTAACGTTGCTTTACATACTTAGCTGTGACATCAGTTAAGTGCTTTATTTCTTTAATTTTTTTTAGAAAAGTTCAACAGTTTGTACTTATGCAACATTACTATGTATTGCACTAAAGCAAACTCTGTGTCCTGTAAATATATTTAGTGAGGAATTGTAAAATAAAGTATGCAGAAACTGCTTTCTAGTTTTGTCATTTGATATTTATGTAACTATTGGTTTTATGTGCATGTGAAGCCCATGGAGTGGGCTTACTATATAGCTTTATAATATATTAAAGTATGATTTGCACTGTCTGGAATCTGGCTGTTTCGTAAGTGTTAAGTTTGATGTGTCAGTGTCCCAAAAAATACAGTTAATTAGGTGGGTGTATATATACACACACACACATGAAAAAATGTTGTGTAATGCTACACATTTGTCATTGGTTTTGGTCACAAGCCTTTTAAAAACATAACACATGACTCTGCACAGGTCTACAAGATTCTTTCCAGGATATATTTGTTAGATATTTAGATGAGATTTTTCCCAAACTTCTTCCTTGAACACTAAAAATTAGATTTGTCCTAGGTATATTTAGACATTTAGAGAAGTTATGCACAGTCCTTAGAGAGTTAAGAACACTCCCCTAAGATCATAAATTCCAAATTGTATTTCTGTGAGATAGCCCAAAGTTTCAACAGACAGACTCTGTTTACAGTTAAACAAGATTTGATGTAAGAAAATATCAGCAGACTCAGTTTCAAATAAAAAAGAAGAATAATCAAGAGATGAAGTGGCTCCTGGTACAGAACATGGTTGTGGACAAAATGCAAAAAGAATTCCACAATATATCATTCATGGCTCTGTGAATTAAACCAGAAAGGCTGGAGTAAACAGCTTCTGGTCTTTTCACCCAGAGCACTTTCATCATATTTTCCTGTGGCTGTTTATTCTACTGTAAAATGGCACACATTTTAGTGCATAACGTAATCACCACCCACTTAACTGTTTATCCCCGAGATTCAGGATAAAGGAATAACAATGGAATCAGTCAAGGCAGTCAATTACTGCTCACAGTGGCCTCCCTCAGCTGCACCCAGCAGAAACAATCAGACAAGCTGGTAAAACCATCCCTAATAATCCACAGCTTTATACAGTGCACTTCAATGTTTCACTGCTTTTAACAGAGAAATATTTACTCTATATAAAATTTGTCATGTGGAAGATAAGAGGAAAACACTGACTCAGCAGCACAGGACTGTTTTAAATGTTATAAATCAAAATACAGGTAAAAGCAAAGGTGAGCACAAGCAGTTGGACCTCACACATTTCATGTCAATTATTGACATGGAAGAGTTTTCAGAGCTGTTTTAAAAGCCATTATAATCTCTGTTAGGGAGGTAAATATCCCATTTAAAAAGAATTCAACTTGTGAGAATTTTCTTTATTCAGCTGAGCTAATGTAAGCAAACTGACAGCTGTTCCTGCAGTTTCACTTCTCAGTGACAACTGATGTAATCAAAGCTCTAAATGGAATTCCATTTGTATTGGTTGGTTAAGATAGCAAATATACACATATGCACTCAGGGAAATAAAGGAGAAAAAAAGACCTTGGAGAACAGCAAAATTAATTTGAGAACAAATTTTCCATTCTCCAAGGAACAGTTACTACATTGAAACCATTTGATGTGCACCTGAAAAGAGCAAATACATCAGAGAAGCCTGTCATATGACAGCTCTTCAAGTCAACCTGTATACTCAGAACTGACAGTATCACATAAAACTGTTCAATAAAGACTGAGAAAGATTTTTACCCTTTTTATTTTGTTTTCTAGGATGAAAATATAAAATATTTTTTTTCCTAATGCCACATTGAGGTGACACTTGAATTAAAAACAGAGTGCTGGAACTGAACCCAGGTAACTGCAAAAATACCAAAGGAAACATCTGTGTGATGGAACTGCACGTGCATAGCTCTTCATACCTTTTAAGTCTTCTGGAAACTTAAGTTTGCATCAAATAATCACTTCATGGGTGTTGAGTCGTCACCAGAAGGCTCAACCAGTTCCAGCAGCAAAATACAAAATATTTTTTTTAATTGTTTTGTCTGTACCCTGGAAGAATCCAGAGACTTCCCATAAAGAATTCCTGGCATATGCAAATGCCACCATTTGGCTAAGGTAGACATGACTCTGGTGATTTACTTGAGAAGCTTACAAAAAATAATAATAAACCAATCATTTCCATTGCTTTTCCTCAATTTGTTTTACTACTTTTCATTGATATTCTCATGCTAGTGACTATAGAAATCAAATTAGTAGACAAATACTGAAAACAGAATAATAATTTACCATTACTGTATTAGTCTGAATTAAATACACATGTCTCACAAATCCCTTGAAATCTAAAGACCTGAACAACTAAGGGGAGAATATTAAGTTATTGTATTAAATTAAATTCAGCCAGCAGACAAAAAATTAACATAAATGGATTCAGTGTTATTTGTAAAATACAGCTGGGCAAGCATTGGAAAGCATTCTGTTGTTTACACATGCTTATTTTGATGGTATTTTCATATCACTTTGCTTTTTGGCACTAGATTTATGTGATTGACTTGTACTATGAAAAATTCATAGAAATGAATCTTCAGGAGACAAGTCCTGAATTTTTTTAGAAATTATAATCAAGATGTGATACAAAGGCTAGACTGAGATTAATAAGAAGAACTGGGTTATTCTAAAAATGTGTCGCTAAGTATTGGCTGAAAAGAAGAAAAATTACGGTTTGTATCTGGAAAATACCTGTTTCTCTTGGGTGTTCTATGCTGAATGAATGCACACACACACTACAGAGTACAAATGCATTTCTAAATGATGAATCTATAAAATCTAATTTGAAGATAAGGCCCATAGGGAACAAAATAAAGATAAGCCAAATAGCAAATGAACAGGAGTATTTTTTCAAAACACATTCTGTAGCTGACAGCTAACCTAAACAAACCTTCTAAATGGTTCAGCCTGTGACCATTTCATTGTAAGAATTCAGTTTCATATTTCAAAGACTCCAGCAATTACAGCTGAAAGCCTTCACTATCAATTTATCAAAATGAATTATTCACTGCAGAATATGAAATAACAAGTGGGCATACTGTAAACTTTGTAGTGAAAGCAATTAAAATACCATGGATTAATTTTCAACTAAATAAATACAAGATAATCAGAAAAGTTAAACCAAGGAAGTAAAGTCTGCTCTTTAATATTTTCCTGTTATTTCCACACACTACAGTACAGTCCCAGGCTCCAGCCTGCACTGCCTTGGGGTCTCACATAAGTTCACACCCATTTCTCAAGGTGTTTTTTGAGCAGTTGTAGGAGTTCCAGGCAAAGACGACAAACCAGACAGCTCGGGCCACAGAACAGCTTCCTGAGCTGTTCCCAGCTCTGGTCTGTAAAACTGGACATGCACACTTGTTTGATAAATACACAAAGGTAAAAACAAACCTACCCTGGGGTAAGCACAAGTGGAGTTGTAACGGACCAGACTCGGGCAAAAATCCGAGATCTCCGTCTTCACTGGCCCAAGGTACACAAGAGCTGCTGACAATGATTGAGGCAGTTCTAACTTGTATTCCATTCAGATCTAAGAGTGCCTACATGTTTTGTTCAATCATGTTTACCCATTTGAGCAAGAGGATTTTTCTTGCCAGTGACAGCACTGACTGCAATGTGAGTTAAGCCTCTGGGCCTGAGGTCATGCCAGTGAGAAAGCAAATGTCAATTACTGACTAACAGAAACAAAAACTGAAAAGGAATTGCAAAAAACACACAGTGTACAGTAGAACACTAATGGAAAACTAGAGCAGAGTGAATCCATTCCTCTCCTCTAGATAACAGTCCTTGTACAATGCCTGCTAGATGGGACTTTAACTTACAACATGTGGCAGGGCTTTGTCCATAGAAACCACCCAGTGTTTCTGGGCATTACACAGCAGCCAGACATAAAAAACACTTCACAAGCAAGGAAAAAATGGAGAGGGAAAAAAAATAGATGTAGAAGAGGGCTGGTGGGCACTGTGGACTACATTCCTTGTGGCAAAACCAGAAAAAGCTGTGTGATACCAGTGTAACACAGAAAGGTAGATCTGTCTGTATTTTTGTCATGTTCTAGTCTAGCTCAGGAGTTACTTCTGTCGATTTTGATTTCAGTAGAGGTACAAGACAGAATTTGATCCCTGAGGGGGTCTCCCCCCTCTTTTTGTACTAAGTGGAATCTGAATAAATGTGCTCTGTCTGTCACTAGCCTCTGTTACAAAAAGATAAACATATTCCCAGCCCAGAAGCCACCATAAACAAGTTCAAGCTACAGAGCCTGCAGATATTACTTCCCTGACAACAGCAATTTGGATCTAATGATGCATCAATGTATCAACATGTGAATTTGTACCCAGGAGACAATAATAAATCAATATGCCCTTAAAACACTATCTGCTTTTCCTGTGTAATTTGAAGAGGAGCTCCTGTGCCAGACTGAGCTTCCTCAGCACGGTGACCACTCTGAAATTAGGTCGAGCCCTTCGTTCTCCCCAGCTCAGTAGAAGAGACAAAGCATTGCAGTAACCACTGAAGTGAGCTGGAGACAGAAGCAGCAGAGAACTCCTACCAAATATGCTGTGTGATGCTCAACAGTCCATATAATCACAGCACATCCTCCCTTTACTGTAGAGAACTTCATTTCTGATCAAGGAGAAATTTAACAGCAGGAAAAAATAGAAAAAAGAATGCTGTTTACACTTAGCAATAACTTACTACACTTATTAGGTAGAAACAATGAGGAGTGTAACTGAATATAAACTGAATATATATCCTTCTCTGTCATAAGGAAATGAACAAAACTACACAAAATTTATCGTATGAACTGAATCTCTTTAAAAATAATAGAAATAAAAAATAAATAGAAAAATGCTCCTAAACAGCTTGTCATTTTGGCAAATGCTGTTATTTAGACTGGCTGGCTAAATCTGTGAGAAGGGGTTAAATCTTTGACAAATGCTTCAAGTGAGCTGTTGAGGCTAGTGCAAGCTAAGAGAGTCCTGTCTGGCTGAATGCAATGCCTAGAATCAGCTTATTGAAACACAGAGCAGGTTTAAGATCCATCATGTCAGACACTGCTAATAGAAACAAACACACTTAAACTGGAATATTTAGAGAATAGCATCTGCTTTTTTGCAGAGAGCAAAGTGAACACAGAGGAGAAAACAATTTGCCAAACAGAGGAGGCAAGTCTTGAACAATATCATTATTTACAGTAGCAGATTGTATC